AAACACCTTTGTTATGATATGAATGTAATTCAGTCATATTTCTTCCACTGTAATTGACCATCCGCACTTCGCACTCAAAACTTAATAATCATAAAGAAAGTCATTATGACATACGTGTATATCAGGAGTAGTTAATAGGGAAGGAGTGTGACTTCAATAAACAAAGGAAATTCGTCATTTACTAGCCTTATAATACCTACGATTTACTACGTGTAACTCATCCAACTTGAGCTCAAATCGTGTAACACAGTACATTCGCCTAGCATCGTGCGAAATCGTTTCCTCGTATACACCCGCAATCCGGAGATACAGACTAAAACGTACGACACGATTTTCCATTCTGTTGCCAGCAAACTCTTGCTCACTCGGCGAGACGGTGTGGCTCGCAGGGAGATTGGACATCGACGCAACACTCGGCGAGATACCCTTTGACCCAGCATACAGCTACATACCGGCATACCGGTATACAGCTGATATGCCCCCCACGCATGCACGCCCACCGCAATCTCCCTGCGAGCCACACCGCCTCACCGAGTGAGTAAGAGTGGTTAGTAGCTGCCTTTTGTTTAAATTTCGGCGCAAAACGCATCGAGTTTGCTGGCAACAGAATGGAAAATCGTGTCGTACGTTTTAGTCTGTATCTCCGGATTGCGGGTGTATACGAGGAAACGATTTCGCACGATGCTAGGCGAATGTACTGTGTACGATTTGAGCTCAAGTTGGATGAGTTACGCGTAGTAAATCGTAGCCTAGGTATTATAAGGCTAGTAAATGACGAATTTCCCTTGTTTATTGAAGTCACACTCCTTCCCTATTATCTACTCCTGGTGTATATGAATAGTCAAATACAATAAATATAGGATATAGGTAACCTCCACAGGTTTTAACAACAAGGTGAACGCTCACACGTATAAAACTCGAAGATGCAGAGCTGGTTGGTGTTGGCTGTTGTGAATTCTGCAGGCAGCCGATAACAGATGCAGCAGCCATTGTTGGGGTAGGCTCTACGACTTCACTGCTCGTCCTCAGCTCATTATCATCTTTACTCTTCTCAGCCATTAGTTGACCAGGGTTTCGGGCGCTTTCAGCCGTAGCCATCATTGGATGCGATACGTCTTTCACATTCCCAGTCTGTTCATACACGAGCACTGGAGCCCTGTTTTACAGAGAATGGGTGCTGTGTACAGTAAACTTGTTGCAACTTAGCAAAGGTATAATTCCATATTTCGTAATTTCTGTAAAATATAATGACATGGCTTGATAGCTTACTGTTTTATGTGGCTATGTTACCTGCTGTTTGGCTTTTCTTCATGCATGACAACATCTGATGATGCTTCACTACTCTCACAATTCAGCTGTTCCTCAAGTTGCTTCTTCTGCCTCTCCATTTCCTGGTGCATCTGACCTTTCATATCTTGCTGAATCTTTTCCTTCATCTCTCGCTCCATGTTTTCCTTCATCTCTCGCTCCATCTTTTCCTTCATCTCTTGCTCCATCTTTTCCTTCATCTCTCGCTCCATCTTTTCCTTCATCTCTTGCTCCATCTTTTCCTTCATCTCTCGTTCTATCTTTTCCTTCATCTCCTGCTCCATCTTTTCTTTCATCTCTTGTATAATCTTCTCCTTCATCTCTCGCTCAACCTTCTCCTTCATCTCTTGCTCGATCTGTTCTCTCATTTGTTGCATGCGTTTATACCTGAAAGTTAAACGAAAAAGGTCCTGTTTAAAATACTTCCTGTGAGTATCATTTCAGTATGTTCAGAACATCACCTATGTTTGCAATAAACAAGAAATGCCAAAAATTGTAAAATATAAAACAGTAGAAGGAAACATTTCTGAGAGTAAATTATTAGCCCGCTCCCACTGCGCAACAGAATTTCTGTATAGCAATTTACTCGTCTGTAAGCTCCAATACCAAGCTGACAATTATTACCTGTTGGCTCGTAACTCTTCAAACGAGAACTCATCAAGACCTGCATATATCTTGTGCTTGCAATACATTACTCGTTCATGTGGGTTGATCTCCTGGGCACGTATAATGTTTTGCACAGGATGTACAGGTTTATCCAGCTTCCGGGCACTCAAAACTTTCGAAAAACATTCACCAGATTTACTTGGAGTCCTGGTGAGCAGAGTATCATCATATCAATTAATAAGCAAGTAAATCACATAATGCTGTCAATAAACAAGGTATACACTACAACATAACCTAATAATACTGTATTAATAAAATAACATATCATAAGAAAAAAACATGGGTGTTATAACTCTGTTTAACATCAAGTAACATTACCTTTAAATAAGAAAGTAGCATTTATAAACATGACTGTTATTTTGTTGTTCTAGAAAACTCCAATAGTATAAGCTATGCTTATGAATTAAGAAGTAATGAAAAGATTTTGTATTGGTTAGTGAAACATTTCAAAAATTAAAAACGTTGGACCAAATTAATAGGATATGTTCAAATTTAATCGCTCTGAGCAGGAGTGTTTCTCCATAATAGACGTCCAACATAAACATGATGGACAGAATTTATCTACAACACCCCATTTCTAGCCTGTTCTCAACATTATCATAACAACCCTATAGTTAGCTGATATATAGCCTGTATATAGTAAAATGCTATGTAAATTGTAAAAGGTATTACTAATAACTTACGGTAAAGGCTGCTCTGTTTCATCATCCTGATGAATGCTGAAGGCTGGTTTAGTCTCCTCGTGGATACGGTGTTTAGGCACAACTCCTGATGGATTGTGCAACTTGAAAACAAATTGACTACAATTAGTAAAACTCAATCACACTAGTATTTTCATAAAATTAACATTCGTCCATCCCAGCCAGACTACTACCAGTTGTCCTTTTTCCGTCTCAGTGTCCAGTTGTGATGACAGGCCCCAAAACACCTCAAACATTCACCAGCCTCATCAGCAACAGGCCTCAATGTACGTATTAAAAGTAATACGATTTATGAATTACATTTTATATGGTTATTTAGAAAATACGATGTGTAAAGTAACCAGGAAATTGTGTAAACTTTTTAGGCCCCTTTTTAGCTCGCCTTGATCAAGATGATCGTCAAGATGAGCTATTGCTATGGGGTGTCGTCCGTCGTACGTCCGTCAACATTTAGCTACGGTCAAAGATAACTCAAGAACCGTTTGACCCACATGTTTCAAATTGCATGCAGTTGTTACTCCTATGGGAGAGGTTTGAACGTCTTATTTTGGAGCACGCCAGTCGACCTACTTTCGAGCCACGTTCAGTTTTTGGCAAAAATGGAAATGGCCACGATTAAGTCAGTTCAGGTTCAACGGATTTTGCTCATTTCTAGTATGTGAATGAATAAGGACTGGCCCCAAAACATATCACACGGGTTTTGATATTTTTTAAATTATGAAAATTAGGTAGATTTTGGCAATTTCACTATGCATTTCAGTGTCTGCCTATGGTCAACGATAACTCAAGAACCGTTTGACCCACATGTTTCAAATTGAATAGTTGTTACTCCTATGGGAGAGATTTGAAATTCCTATTTTGGAGCACGCCAGTCGACCAACTTTCGAGCCACGCCCACTTTTTGGCAAAAATGAAAATGGCCATCTAAATTCATTCAATTTTGTTAAATTTTGCAATGTGAATGTGTAAGGCTAGCCCCAAAACAGTTGTTACTCCTATGGTAGAGATGACAACGTCCTATTACGTTTATTTCATCTAACTGGTCAACAACTCTACAATCATACCTATATATACGTGTAATATTCTGTTTTAGATTCTTCGTTACAGTAATTTGACTGGAATATTTTATAGTTTTTATTTGCACGATATTCGAAAACCAAAATGGCGATCATTTAGGCGTAGCGCCATCTCTCTTCAAAATTTCAGACTTTCAGATCTGAAACATTTATTTTCACATCAAAACTTATGCATATATCATTATCAAGAGTATATAATGGGAGTTCTCCCATATATACTCTTGCTTTATATATCCCCCCTCCCTCTTCTATCACACCCTAGGTGAGCTAGTGTCATTGACACTTTCGTTTAAGTAAGCGTTTAGTCTTGCAAATCGAGGTTTATAAAGAACATAACCTCCTGTAAATATAGCAAGGAGTGACTGTATTCCATCTAGATTTTGTTTGAAATGGGAGTGTGATTTTCCTTCACTCCACATGCAGCCATGATCGAGGGACATAAATGGGTCAGCCATTTTTGCCACGAGTTCATACCTTAGCCTTTGTCCATGTCCCTGGTCTTTGTTCATTCTCTTTCCTGACTTCAGCTCTTGTCCCTATGTGGTGCCACTCACCAGTCTGTGCAGGGACAGCAGATGGTGCAGAGTTCTCATCACAGAACACGTGGAAACTGGAGCCAGTCTGCCGTGGTTTCGGAGCAGCCATATTGCCAAGGCCTTATTGTAACAAAAATCCCAAAGACACAAATTCAAACCCGGTAAACTATGGTTCCTAAAATTAGCATATGCATTGCATTTTTATTAAACATTTTAAAATTAGCTTCAGTTAAGAAGAATATGGTACTCATTAGATAAACACACATACATATACGAATACATTTCTACGCAAAGCCAAGCCACTAGACAAGAGAAGGACTTGTCCGACGTAGACTTTCACTTGTCCCGTGCAATCAGACAACCGTTAGTGTCGAGGGCTAAAACAGTTTGTCTTGATCTTCCCAATTCAAATTAAACAATGTGAATTTATCTTCATGCATGCGTTTGTGTATTTCTGGCAAGAGTTACGATCTCATCTCACCTTGTCTATGGCCAGTGCCACTTCTATGTGATCCAACTATGGCCTTTTTCCCATGTCCCTTGAGGCTGGCCAGCGATGTGCGCTGGCCCCCTTCTGCACCAGAAGGTGCTGGGTCAGCAGATTCAAGACCTTGTGCTACATGTCGTGCCACCCTAAACTCAAAATTCCTGCCAACACGATTACTTAATTAATTATATTAAAAATGTTCAATATCCATGCAGGGTGCAAAATTAGCACCGGCCCACCGGCATATTACGGCAAATTATTTGGAGGGCTGGAATACATTGGTAAAACACCGGCCCTCCGAGCCCCGCACACATACACGTAATGTGGAAATAAAAGCATTACAAATAAAAGGAACTTGAAAGGAAAAGAAATAATAAATATCTTCTTAGCATATATTAGTCTTTGGAAAGGAAAATAAAATTAATTTGTCAGAGTTAGATCCATAATTAAGTTATTTAATATCTAAATTATAATATAGCGATTTCCAGGATTCCAGCAAAGTTTTGCTGTCCAAGTTTTGGAATCCAGCGATTCCAGGAAAGTTTTGCTGTCGCGCTCTCTACCAGCGGTGCCCGGCCACCCCATACATATGTAATAATGAACATGCACCCTGGCACGCAGCTGAAAGTGAAACAATCAATAATGCACTCGCCCCTCCCCCCTACTTCAATCAGTGCCGCCCAGCCAACAGGCACGTACGCAGGCTGTGCATAGCTCTAGTACTATAGCCCGCGTACAGTTGCCGCAGGCCTGCCACGTACGGAAACTTAAAAAAAATAATCGGAAAGGTCAATACAAATGTTTGTGTCGGCCCCTTTTTGGCGGGTCGGTCGGGTGAGGGCAAACAAACAACATTTTTATTATGGCCTCAGTTTGGTAAATTTTTTATTTCCTGTGCGGCGATTATGTAGTCGCCCCGCCGGACCAGCTGACAGGAGCAAGCAGTCGCCCGGTTGATTATCTACTCGCCACTGGCGACTGGGCGACCGCTTGTTTCTCACGCTGCATGATATCCTTCAGGTATAACATTAATGTAGGCTATTTGCTCATTAATGCTATAAATAAAAATGTAGGTACTCGCTAACACAGCTGAAACCCTCTGCGTGCGTGCGTGTGTGATCTGGAAATAAAATCATGCACAATTTAGCTCTGATAAACACAAGTTGTTAAAAGTATTTTATATGTATATTGCATCACTGTACAATGTACATTATATAAATGTGTAGGCAAACATTAAAGGTATCTCCACACAAGCACACCTGAGCACGTAGACACCATTGCTGAATTTGTAAAAATTCCCCCCTCAAAAAAAAAGCCAACCACACTTTTCAGCCTGGGTTCGGTGAGGGCAAACAA